TTCAGTCTGTTGCCCCCACCTCCCCCCATCCTCTGTGTTCCTGCCATCATGGAGGTGCTCCACCGCTGCCAGCTCCTGTTGGAACACTTGTTTACACTCTGATTGTCTGTTTGCCAGCCAATCAAAGTACGAATAAAGTGTTACAGACAGACAGACATAAGCCTTTATAATATTAGAATAACTATACATGTTACTATATAAATTAAATGTCCATAAGAACAAAATACTAGGGAAAGAGAGATATTTTTTCTTTCCTTAATATCTTCAAATGAGAATTTGATGCTTTTCTGGAATTATGCTTTAGTCAAATGCAGATTAATGGGCCAAATACAGAGTTAATTGGATAAAATTCTCTAGCCAGTGTTACACAGGAAATCAAACTAGATGACTTACACTCCTTAAGGTCCAAGTCTATGAATATGGAGGGACTAGGAGCTATAACATACTACTTAAGATATGTGTCTGTGAAGGGAGGAGAGCAGGGCAACAGAAAAGCCCCGGGAAACTTGAACAAGAAGCATGTACTGCAGGTGCAGAGAGAAGCCTAGCTGGAGCAGGGAGTGTATCGCTACATTTCTGCAGCATGTGCTCCCTTCAGATTGGTGAGGGGAGCACAAGGACAGGTATTTCAGGCCCCAGAGAGGGGCAGCCGGGGGAAGACTGCAGATGGCAGACCCAGGAGTAGCTGGAGGCTTTCCCAGCTTGGCAGCATCCTGTGGCGAACCACAGGTGAAGAAAGTCGGCCCATTGGCTAGTGTGGTCAGAGGACCACTGACAGAACCCTGGATACATCTCATCAGCAACAGAGACAGAGGCCGGAAGCCAGCAGAGCAAGGGAGAGCGAGAGAGCAGCCACTGTAAGTGGGCCTGTGAGTTTCAGGGGTACTACCCCTTTGATTTTTGCTCTCTTTCTTTTCTTCCTTGTTTTTGGGATTGTGTTTCTCTCTCCATGTACTGGGAAGGCAGCAGGAACAAAAGCTCCCTACCCTTCAGAAGCCCTTTGATCCTGACCCTGAGGAGCTAAGGCAGAGTAGGAACCCTGGTAAAATTGATTTTGAGTTGATTGACCCATGAACTTGGGAGAAATTAATTTCAGTTGACTGTCTGATGGATCCTTGATGGACTGATTTAATTTGACTGACCCAGGAACTGGGAATGAATTGATTTCATTTTTTGATAGTCTGGTGGATCCTTGGTGGATTGATTTAATTTGACTGACCCTGAGGTGAATTGATGTGAGGTAGTTGTCTTACAGACTCTAAACAGACTTATCTTAATTGATGGACCTCTGAACTTGTAATGAATTGATTTAAGGATGACCTCAGAGAACGCAAATGAATGGATTTTAATTCATAAACATTAATGTGGTAAGTCAGCAAGTAACAGCCAACAGCATATTCAGTCAACACAATATCCAGGCCCAGACATGTGTCATTTTGGATGTGGTAAGGGTGGAGTGTAAGGAGAGGAGGAGCCCCATGAAGAAACCCCTCCTGGGAGACCCGGCAGGGAATTCACCCATCCTACATCCAACTCGCAATAGTTAAAATATACATCACGACGTGGCGGGCAAGAGAAGAACATCTGAGTTAGGCAGTGATGATACCATCCAGTTTCCCCACAATGGTGTACTCAAGTAAGGCATCAGGCAGGCAGGGGACCCAGCCTTATAATACCAACCCCCGACAGTGTCCAGTCAAAATAAAGTAAAACACCTGGGATTCCAAAAAGCCATTACGGGAAAGGAACTGTTTGTGAACAATCTACAGGACTAATCAGATAAATTATTTGGAATGAAATTCCAGGCATTTCCTATGCACAGTCAAGTCTTACATAAGTCTTTGATCCAAAGGCCCAACTATGAGAAATCTTCAAATATGTTATAAGTGTTGCATAAGCCTTGGTTTGGCATTCTGGACAGAGGTGACTACTTTCTCCCTCCCAGTTGTTTTCATAGTGGCTTCTGCCCCTCCAGAAGTAGGAGTGAAAAGCTAAGTTGTTTTAATTAAATCATTTATCAATACATATAATATAATGATAAATACATATACATACACATATACCAGTGCATGTATATGTGTGCGTGTATACATTTTTATTACGTTTAATAGGATCCTTCACAGTACACGTTGCTATAGCTTATATGTAAAATATATATATAGCAACGTGTACTGTGAAGGATCCTATTAGATCTCTCAATTGAAGGGGAGTAGGTTAAGGACAAGTGGCACACTTGTCAAGATCAAAGAGCCACCCAAGTCAATAATGGTGACTGAGTTGGAAGCTTTATAACTTTTGAGTCTTTACTAAGCCAGTGCCCAGTAGGGCCATGCAAAATTTCGCCGGCTGTTTCATTTTGATGCTGTTCTGACTCGTTTTGAGCTTGAAACAGCGAAATCGAAATAAAACAACAGGCTTCGAAACAGCCTTGAAACGAAACGAGGGCAATCAAAATGTTTCAAAAGTTTTGAAATGTTTTGAGTTTCAAAGTTGGGCTTGCTTGCAGCTAAAGAGAAACTAAGGAGATGGAGGGAGAAGGACTGCTCTGACATTGACATGTGTAGCTGGCCAGTGACTGATCCTTCCCTGAGATCCCTTCCAATCCCAGTGCTCTGAGGGAAGGATGGAAAAAACAGCATAACAAGTACTGTTTGAACTGAGCTTTCGCTGTGCCTTCACACTTACAAGTGACACACGTTTTGCTCTGAACAGTTTGAGGTGCTGTTTCCCAGAAACCCCTGCACCTGTCTCCTTGAAAGCTGGCAGGCTTCATGGCCTCAGCAGGGGCTAGCACGCCTGCAGTTTTTACCTCACTGTGCCTTAACACTATAGGAGCTGCATTGTGTCTTCAGATATCTGGGGGTTCCAAAGTGATGCCCTAAAAGTCTGCAGTTAATAAGGATTATGTCTGTCTCTGCCGTTTTTGGGTTGTTACCCCTAGTGTTCTTTCAATGAGGTAATCTTCATTTTCTGTACTAAACTTTGAGAAGGGTTGAGTAAAGGATGACCAGAGTTCATGTGTGCTGTTAAACACAGGTGTGGTTGCATTTCACGGATGAATACATTGAAGTCTGTACAGTCTGCATATTGGTTCATGAGCTGCTTAATGATAAAAAACCCAGACACGGAGGTGTTATAGTTTGTTCAGAGTTCAGCTTGAAGCAGCGCTTTAGTGCAATTCTGATTATATCTTGTATCGTTACTATCTACTGGATTATATGTCAGACCTAAGTGTATCTTGATTCTATGACCCAATATTTCAAACACAACTTAGATGGGCAAATTAATAACAAAAATATTATGACATCAGAATTGGAAGGGTATGGCAGAGGCAACTTATTTTAAAGAGAAAAGCATTGATAAATTTTAAGGCTAAGTGTGACAAATCCCTGTTTAGCATATTTAGAGATACACCGAGATACAGACAGTATTTATAGAAGTGTTTTTGAAGTCATATTTATCCTTTATGTATTTTGAAAATAATTATTAAAAAAAATGGTATAGACACAATTTACAAATCCTTGCTCTGTCAAAATTTGCTTGCTTAAAAAAGGAGGTGCTGGCTTGCAGCCTGTTGTGATCAAGAAGCTTGATTTTTATTTCATGCTACTGCAAATTAGAAATAACTCTGGTGTCACTAATGGAGTTATTCTGATATAAGACTGTTGTAAATAAGAGGCAAACAGGATCAGGATTAGTTAATTTATTATTATACTTTCTTTTATAAATCCACAAGAGCAATGAAAACATCCAGAATAACACATCTCTTAAACAAAACTGATGAGAGTTTTCATTAAATAAGTTAAGATACATTGGATAACAGGGAGATCCAGGTAACCAGACATAAATTCTCCCTAGATAAATATATACCTTATAAACAATCTTATCTACTGGTATGTATATAGGAATAAACATGTTTATACTATTTTGAGGAAAATACCATGTAGGATTAATATGAATTAAACTAATACCACCATTACAAGTAAAAAAGAGCAATGCCTCATACTGTCATAAAGTGTGAGAACAGTACCATTACATTACATGCTGTAAATATGAATGAGCGATCTTGCTAAAATTGCAAAAATGTGTGCATGACACATTGTCTGCAGTAACATTTGCAGAGTATAAATTTAAGCAAGTTCATTCATTCTGGTAGGCTTGGGGCCTAAACTGGTAAGAACCCTCTTATGTGCAGTTCTGCAGTAAGGGGACATATGATGATTCTGAAAAGATTTGATGTGAATTTTTCTAAAGTGACTTAGGAGCCGAAGTCTCATTTTCAGGAGTGACTTAGACTGTTAGAGGAGTCAAAGTGCCACTGACTTTCACATTTAAAAATGAGACTTAGGAGCCTAATAGATTCTTTCTGAAAAGTTGACACTGTCTTTATTTCTAGATCCCAGTACTGTACCAGCATTTATAATTCATAAAGCATAGCAAGTGTACATAATGCTTTCCCAATTGCAGAAAAATCAAGGTGCCTGCCCAGATGAATGTAGTCTAACTTAGGTAATTAAGATAAAGAGGAAAAAAATAGGTGTAGATATGGCTGCTAAGGAGATGAATGCTGGAAGGCTTTTCATATAACTATTTGAAGGGGGGAATAAAAAGAAGATATAAAATCTGCTCTATGCATGGTAGTGGGACATTGCTCAAAGCATTAAAGGATGGTCTGGAATAAGCTGAGGATAGCAGGAATCAAACAGAGGAACTGGAATGTAAAGAATGGAGAGGCAGAAAGCATGAGGTGAGGGTAGAAATGAGGGGGTGCAGCTCTGCTGCATCACGTTGATAAACAGAAATCAAACTTTCTGTGGAAGGTGAGAGGAAGCCAAGGAGAGCAATTCAGCATGTGATTCTCTACTTCAGATGTACTTAACATGTTTTGAACTTGGCTGTATGTACATAGCTATGTACATTGTTCCTCCCCCTTTATGCCACTTCTATACAATAAAGTTAAATATTGAAACAGAAATAAAACCCTAAATTAATATCTCGACCTCTCATTCTTTGCTTTGATTTTGACTGAAGGAGCAGTAGCTTGGGCCTAAGCCTCTCACAGTACAGTCAGTGCTGTCCGTATCACATGTTTCACAGTGGCATTCTGTAGCCACTGGGTATGAATAAAATGATTCAGCATGGTCACCACATCCAGGGATCTTCACTGTTTCATACACAAGCTCCTTGAAAGTACAAGTTTGCTGAACAGATGACACTGGAGGATACTTATATATTGGATCCTAAAAATAAGAAGGAAGAAATATTTTGTTTGAAATCTGTTTCAGACCCTTGATGTTTTTCAGAGTTCTTAAAAAGGTACATGTGCACATAAGTAACTTTAAGTCTAGGTAAATCAGTGGAAAGAATATCATTGGCCTTAATAGACTTAGGATCAGGCTCTTAAAATCCTTTACATTTCTCCTTTTAAAAGAGCTGAGATGGTAAATCCATACCTCATACAACTACTTTGTAACCCCAATGACTGTTGTTTTTAGACCTGAAAGTACCTATTACCTGAAAGGTACTATACACTTTGTACTACCACACATGAAAGGTACTAGATCTGTCTAGTAATGGCTTAATATGTAAACCATATGATTATATCCTTATATGTAAACCATGTGATTATATCCTTTCTGAGCTACATAAAACAGACATGGGCCTATGACAGAGTTCTTGATTGGAGTCCTTTGTACTCAACCTATAGACAAGTTCTAAACAAATGTATGATCAATAATTCACAATCACCCCTACTTGAAAATACCCATTAAACTTTATGTCTGGTCATCTCATATTATTTGCCAAAGTTTGTATTTTGGAATATGTATTTTTTAACCAAATACTATATAGATTTTCAGGGCAACTACAAATACTTGGATAGGAGCTGGACCAGTGTAAAAGAGCAGGATTCCTGCCCATCCCCCAAACACAAATAAATACATTTGCATCTAAAACTTTTAAGATTAAATCCTGAAAGGTGCTGAACAATCGTGTAAATTGCTAGGCGCACCAATTTCACCAGGAACTAGGAGCGCTTAGGGCTATATCCTCAAAGGGATTAAGACACCTAGAGTGTGTCTACACATTCATTAATGCACCGTAGTTATTTCACATTAAGTTTAGTATTTGAATAACCAAGTATTAAATCAATGCTCAGTAACTTCTGCTACTGTGCAGTAGCCCCAGCACACAGGCTTTTTTGGACTGTAACTGCACAGTAGCCTAATACCACTGGGCAGTAGTGCATTAGCATGGTTTTTGCTCAGCACAAGGCTCTAATTGCTCAGCATGCTACTGCGCAGTGTTATTAGGCTACTGTGCAATTAGAGCCTTGTGTAGATGCACCCCTAATCCCTTAAATTAGGTATAAAAATGCCTTTGGGGTAGTTGGTTTTGGTATCCTGAAGGGATGCTCAGCATGGTATAGGAGCGTGCCCTGAATAGGAACATCAAAATGCAAAATCTCTTTTCAGTCAAGGGAGCCAGAAAGAATCCGTGTCAACAAGGACATGTTCAGTGTGTGCATACTCAACAAAAGAAAGAGTGGAGAAGGGGCTGTCACAACAGGTTAATTAAAGATGCTATTGCTGCTTTGCAAAATACACAGACAACTTGTCTATGCAGCTGAATAAAACACTGACTGTAACTAGCCACTTCTCAGCCAGGTCTCTGTGGTTCTAAGCAGCTGTTCATATTTAGGGTACCATGTCATAAAAGACGGTGATTATTAATGCTGTTCTTTCACAGGGTTCACCCTGCCTGGGTATTTGTTTCAGCTTGCAAGTCTGGCTTGTTCAAGTGTCATTCAGATTCCACCCCATTGTTTTACACCTTAGGCTCTCACCCTTGTGAAGCAGTATCCAGAGCACCAAGTGGCATTCACAGTAATGCAGAACTCACACTCCTCCTTCTCCACTGCTATGGTGATATTGGACAGCTCACAGATATTACAGCAAGTTGCTTTCCAACAAAGTAACAGCACATAGCAATTAACTGTCTTCATCCTATTGTATAAAGCAGACAATTCAGACATATTGGAGGAATGTACAGAGATATTTGCAACCTGAGATTTATGTAGAACCAGAGAAAACCGAGGACTTCATATTACCCACAAATGCAAATACAACAATAATCTTTCAGCAACATTGAGAAGCAGGGAAAGCATAAAATATCATCAGCAAAAGAGAGCTGGAGGGCTATTGTTACAGGAGATTGGTTTTGTTAAATAACTGGAACTGGGTATCCAACAAGCTGAGAGAGAAAATGATTGCAATGTACCAACTCATTTTCAGTGTATAAATTATGCCTAAATTCCTCTTGCAAAGATCCTGGCATACTTTTATGAAAAGGAAAAACAAAAAAATTAGAAGTAAGAAAGGATAGCAATAAAGAATATTTTTAAAAAAACCCCAAAAAATAAATAATTTTGTAATTTCTGTAATTCTAAACCATAATTCAAGAACTGATGAACACTCACCTGTATTCTGCTTGTTTTTCTGTTAATAGCTGTAGTGAGGGTAAAGCCTCCAGCTTGCCTTTTATACTAAATCATGTGTAATTTACACCTTGAGGATTTCCCAGTATTGATATAGGATTAATTTGGTACTCGGTGAGAGGGGATTAAGGTTTAGACAGACTGTAAGATGAAACCTTGTAAAAAAAAAAGTACTTTAAGTTCAGGAGATAGTGGAGAACATAATCATCACAGACGTCGTCTATTAAAATGTTTTGCCAGCTTCGATTCACTAGCATTTTGTCTTGTAACATTATTATTTAAATGATAGCATGATGTGGATCTGGCTGGATAGAAGAAACATTTTCAGCAACTATTTGTTTGAATTAAAAAATGAATGTTGATAACTTTTTTTTAAATATTTGCTTTCTATAATGGGTGGGTATGCAAGTTTCACTAGCACAAATTCTTTGGAAATGCCAATCAAAATTTTAAATGCTTAAATACATTTCAAAATTGCTATATAATGACAAAATGCAGCAGTTGCACTTTGTTGGTTAGTTATGTAAGTTGTCCAGTGAAGGAATAGAAGCAATACTACATGATTTATATAATTAAGTCAAACAAAAAGAACTGCAAATGAGAAATCTATGAAGTGTAAAGAGAATCATTTGCAAAGCTCTAACATCAAAAGGATTTATTGATGTGAGAAATAAAAAGGTAAAACTGGAATGGAACGGAAGACAACTGAACCAATATAATAGTAATCTTGGCCCTTCACCAAATTAACCATAGTGTTGATACAAAACCCCATTTCTCTATATGTGTTTTGCTCCCAGTTAGGGGGAGAAGAAATCATGTGAATTTTGAGTTGTGGTGTTTCCTTGCAATTCCTCATGGTTGAATAGTAGGAGGAGTCATGGTGGCTCTACCACTAAAGTAATAGATCTGGAAGATGTGTGAGACTTACACATGGAAGTCCCTTCTCTTTGTACTTGCACTTAGTGCTTTTTTCCATTTGCATCCCACTGGGTACAACTTCACTCACTTCTCCTACAACAGCTTTAAGAGAGGGTTTTCCATACCATGGAAGGCTAACCTAGATAAAACTTTTTAAAGTCTGTCTCCAATCAGTTTCACTGGTTTTCACTACTATTTTTCCCCTTTTTATAGAGGGTCTAGCAACACCAGCTGGCTCCTCAGCTCTTATGCTGCTGCTTTTCTAACTATCCCAACCTGCACAGGTTGCTGCATTAGAAGAGGTGCATACAGAAGAGGCAGCACTCACTTTTATGTTTCCTTCTGTGGTCAGCAGATGACAGCTTTCTTTTGGTGTTGAACTGTGGGAAGCATTTGTCCACAGGACACAGACAAAGTAATAAAGGTGGAGGGAGAGTAATAACATCTATTTTTCTCTCTAGACACATTAAAAATTCCTCAGAGCAATAAACTGTCCTTCCTCCTGAATTTGCTACTACATTTAAATATAAAATAATAATTATACACACCAAAAAGTGTCTACCTAGTAAGCAATTAACAGGAGAAAGAACAGTGAACTTGAATTCTACTGTCCTCCAGTGGCTAGAATGGCCCAATAGATGTTGATATCTTTCTGTTAATGGAGCTGTTTTTTGAGAAGTGATGAACTGGTTAGCTGAACTTTAGATACCTCCAAACCAAAAATATACTAGAATGTGTGTATTTGTATATTCAAACCCAGTATACTGCCAACTAGAGCATCATTACTGTACCATCCCTTCACCACATGCAATTAAGCCACAATTTAGAGAGGCTTCATCTTGGAATCCATTTGTCCCATTGTTACATATGCCATTTTCACTCTGCATCTAACACATTTTTTTAACACTAGCATTTGCACATGTAAGGAATGGGATGTCTCTGGCAGCAGCAAGGCAGGAAATTCCATTTTATGACAACTTTTGTGGCTTTGAAATTGGTTTCTCTCCCACATTGGAACAAAACCAAAATCTTAAGACAATTTTGCAAAATGGGATCATGTAGAAATATCGATATTAGAAATGGAAAGGTTACATTTCTCATTTGAATCTCTTGTGTTCTCTCTCTCACTGATCAGAAATGACAAGAGAGCTATAGACCTCAGCAGTCTTCCAACCTGAATTGATAGAACTTTGCAAAATGTTTCAACTATGTTGAAACAGCATATTTTGAATAGAACAAGTTTTAATGGAAAATGTTTAGACCAGCTCTAATATCTGTATAACAAACCCATTTGTATGAAGAGGAACCATAGGCTGTAACATTCACTAAATTCAGGATGCTTCTGAGTGCCCTCTTCAGCCTTGTTAGCTTAACCAGGTCTTCAGGACAAGACCTGTCCCTGCAGCAAACTGTTAGGCATAGTACCGAGTATTACTGCCAAGCATTCTCTCACTGTATTTGAATGACCCTTTGTAAAATGTGTAATGTTTAATTTAGTCTGATGGGGAGTGGTGGGGTTGGGGACATTGGTATAGTGGATCATATTTTCAAGTGGCCAAATGTGAGCTTCTGATATAATTGCATATGCAAACATCTATACATACAATCCCCCATTTGTGTGATTAAATCAGAGAGTTTAGTCATAGAACTAAAAAATTAAGTCATGGAAGTCACAAGTAGTTGTATTTCAAAGCAGTTATTGCACATGTGCACTAGCTGTTTTCAATAAAAAATGTCACAGGAATTTTGGTAAACAAAGTTAACAAGTAAAAATGAATAATACATGTGGGCAATTTCTGAAGTATGATTGACCTAAGTCCACTGGAGCTATTCTAGGTCTATTGGTTTTCATCTTAAAAGTCCTTAAATATGGAACTTAATGTACATACTGGCAATTTCAGATCCATTTTAGATCCATTGGCTGAATATGAATTTTTAAAGAAATCTTTAATAGGTCTATATCACAAGACTTGATAAAGCTGTATTTCACTTTTATCATAACACCTGATAAAACTGCTCCCATGGGAGCAAACAGGCTTAAAAATTACATACTTAGTTATATGGGAATTTCTTTTCCATATAGCAAATTTTTGGAAGTGTACAGCTGGTGGAGTGATTTTGTGCTGTCCATTTATGCATCATGCTTAAGAAAGAGGTCTGGCTAGTTCTACTCTCCAGTATACCCCAGCTGAGGGACAGTCTTTTGGGGCCTGTGTTGCCAGTCATAATTTATAGCACCTTAAGGCTACTCTAAGTTAGAATGGGCAGGGGGCAGGAAAGGACTAAACTGTGGAAAGCTTTTAAAATATCTTAAAAGGGAAGTTTGGGAATAGCTAAAAAACACCTCTGTCCCTCATTTTCTATACCACACCGAGGGGCAATTTGTAGAGGGTAAGGCTCCCTTTACACATGCAGGTAAAGGTGCAGTGTGATCAAATGCATGATTCACACAATTGTAGCTCCCACTATGCCATATGTGCATGGCAGGAGGTGCAACTGTGGGATTGCACATTAGATCCCATTGCACTTCATTGCTGGTGCAGAGGGAGCCTGGCAAGAAGCATGCTCCTATGGCTGGAAGGACCCAGGATTGGGAGATTATAGCTGGCCCCTGCAGCTGCTGGGACCCAGCTGTGTCCCAGCACCAGGTGGCATGCTGGGTGGACACAGCATCTGCAGCTGTGGGACTTTGGGTCCTGCAAGCTGTGGAGTGCTGCTGGGACCCAGAGTTTGCAGATTCCGGGGGTGAAAATCCCCAGCAGTTACGGGGGGTGGGGGGGACTACCGCTACTGCTGGCCCACTGAGCAACCCTTGCAAAACCAGCAGGACAAGGCATTTAAGGGAGTCAACCCCTGCCCCAGCCCTGGAGCAAGCTGTAGGCAAGGCAAGGGCCCCTAAAGGGACACTTGCCTGCCTGTACACAAATGCCAGGAGCTTGGGGAATAAACAGGAGGAACGTATCCTCCTGCTTAACACAAATAATTACGATGTCATAGGGATAACGGAGACCTGGTGGGACTCCACCCATGACTGGGCCACAGGTATAGATAGCTATACCCTGTATAGGAGGGATCGAGTGGACAAAAAGAGCAGGGGTGTAGCTCTGTCTGTCAAGGAAAGCTATGCATCCCTACAAGCCAACATTTGCGCCCAGGATGGATGACTGGAGACCCTCTCGGTTAAAATCTATGGGGAACATGGCACAGGGGACACAATGGTGGGAGTCTACTACAGACCTCCTGCACAGGATCAAGAGCTTGACTAGGAGTTTGCCAGGGAATTGGCTGAGGCCGCATGCTCCCAGTGCATGGTTGTCATGGGAGACTTCAACTACCCAGACATCTCATGGAAAGAGCACTTGGCCAAATCCGAGTGGTTGCAAAATTTTTCCCTCATGCATGGATGAGCTGTATCTGACGCAGGAAGTCTACGGGCCGACAAGTGGTAAAGCGCTGCTCGACCTGGTTCTGGCAATGGGGGACGACCTAATCAGCAACCTAACAATCAAAGGAAAGTTGGGTGACATTGACCACGAGCTGATCACTTTCACCACCCACCGTAAAGCTGGCAAGTCAGTCAGCAATACAGAAACCCTCGACTTCAGGAAAGCTGACTTTGACAAGCTAAGGAGGCTTGTTGGTGAGGCCCTAAGGGACCACAACCCAAAGGGGAGGGGAGTTCAGGACGAGTGGTTGATTCTCAAAGGAGCAATCCTGGATGCACAAGCAAAGTCTATTCCGTCTCGGAGGAAAGGCAGCAAAAGGGCACAGTAGCCCGTTTGGCTCTCCAGGGAACTAGTGGACCTCCTGCGTCTAAGAAGAAAGACCTACAAAGGATGGAGGACTGGATCCACCTCCAAGGAGTAATACTCTGTACTGGTCTGGACCTGCAGGGAGTGAACCAGGACAGCTAAGGCTGTGACAGAACTCCAACTAGCTACAAGTATCAAGGACAATAAAAAGTCCTTTTTTAGATATGTGGGGAGCCGGAGGAAAAGCAAGGGCAACGCTGGACCTCTGCTAAACCAGATGGGACAACTGACAACCGACGCCTAGGAAAAAGCCAACTCGCTAAATGGGTACTTTGCGTCGGTTTTTCA